TCTTATATTCTTATTCTTTTATCCTTAGCCTTATATTCTTATTCTTTATTCTAATTATGTTCTTATTTCTTATCCTTATATTCTTAGGATAGGGTTCCCAGGCAGGCTCCCCCTGGGCAACTGGAAAGGCTGGATGGGGGATTCTGGGAATTGAAGTCCACCCCTGTTAAAGCAGCCAAATTTGGAAAACACCGATTTTAAATGGAAAAAGAAAAACAAAACACGCTCAGCAGCAGAAACCGCTCCGCAGGAAGCTTCCCCGGGGGAAGCAGCAGCCAAAGATTCATGAGAGAGAGAAAAGAAAAAGAAAAAAAGGAAAAAGGAAAGAGCCGAGCAGGTTCCACCGAGATTTGAACTCGGATCGCTGGATTCAGAGTCCAGAGTGCTAACCATTACACCATGGAACCGCAGCGCCACCAGCGGCCTCAAGCGCCCGTAGAAAAGCCGCCTCGGCAGAGGCTTCGTTCCCTGCCCGGCTGGAGAAAAAGGCATGGGTTTTGGAGTGGGGTGGAAGGGTGGAGATTTAAAAGGCCACTGAGCATGCACAGAGGGCAGCTGGGGGGGTGGGGTGGGAGGGTGGGGAAAAAAAAAACAGCTAGTCCTTTGGGAAGAAAAAGGAATTCTGCGCATGCTCTGTGGCACCGAGAGAGAATTGCAGCCAGACTCGAACGTCTGCAAAGGAAAAAAAAAAAGCACTCTGTGCATGCTCAGGGGCATAAGTTCTTTGCAAACCCCGCCTCTCTCCTACCCCTTCCTTTTTTTTGTTTTCGTAGTTCCCCGACTTTTTTTATTGGTGGCTGCAACGAGCCTGCCGACCGGCAGGGGGAAGCAAAGCGCAGTTCTGCTTCTCGCGGGCGCCGCCCCGTGGCCGCCGTGCCGCCCTAATACGGCAAGGCTCCTCGCTCCCCACCCCAGCCCTTACGGATCAAAACCAGAGAGATTCCCGCCCAGGCTCAGCCCACTTCCGGCTTCGACTCCCTAATGAACCGGAAACTCCCGGAGGAGACGCGCTAACCCTTCTTACGTCTCGGTAGTGCCGCTCTTCTTTCCGCCTTCGGCACCGGAAGAGTTGGTGGCGGGGGGAAGAGAGAGAGAGAGAGAGGGGGGGGGGGGGGGGCGGTCACCACGGCAGCGTTTTGGAGCCGACCCCGGAAGCTGTCCGGGGTGGGCGGAGAACAGCGAACGAGGCCGGTCAGGGGGCGGAACCGGAGCGTCACTGGTCCGAAGGCGGGGAGGGAGCCGCGGCTGCTGCTGCAGGAGGAGGAGGAGGAGGAGGGAGCGGCCCCTTGGCTCTTGCCTGCGCTTCCTTCTTCGCTCCGTCCGCCATCGCCGCCATGGGGGGCTCCCGCGACGACGAGTACGACTATCTCTTCAAAGGTGGGCTCCCCAAGACCGCCCCGCCCCGACCGCCGTGAGGGAAAACCCGACGGCCATTCCAGCCGGGCGGAGAGGCTTCCTTGGCCTCTCCGGGTGTTAATATGTAGGGGAGGAGAGGGGGCTCAGAACGATGGTCTCGAGGAACCCCCGCCCTTTTTCTCCTCGGCGGGGGTCTCCAAGGGGAGGGGGCGTCCGAAGCTGCCCCTCGTGACCTTGACCTTCCCGAAGCCCGTCCTGCCTCGCAGGGCTGTCGTACGGGGGCGGGGGGGGGAAAGTCGCCCTTCCCATGTGTGGTGGGGGTGAAACGAGTGAGGAAAGCTGCCTCACTTCCTTTTTTGGACGCCCTCTTGGGTGGGTGGGGGGGGGAGGCTCTCCTTTCCCTTGAAAACCCCCCCCAGGACAGCCCCCCTCCCCTCTTGGCAAGGGGTCAATCTAGGCCAAAAGTGACTTCTTCCCCCTCATTCACTTTTTTTT